ATTATTCTACTGATATTCTCAATTTCCTCTTCGAACCTACTTTCAACTTTTCCTGTTTTCCTCCTATTGTCCACTCAAGGGGGCAACCAAAAGCGACACGTGGAAGTGGATGTTTTAATTGAAATTTAGCTGATCTTCAGTTAGCTGTAAAACGTCATCTGCGTTAGTTCAGATAGTCCATCACCTTGGAGCTCACTGATGCTTCTGTCCCTACACGACGGCAGGGCCGTTTGTAAAATAGTATCCGTTGCAAATTCGATTAAGATATAGTGCGTGAACAATGCGGATAGACGCGGCTTTCCGGGTGACCTCATCACATCTAGTGGGTTTCATGCATCTGATCACTAAAATCAATCGTTCTTTTTCGCTTCAATCATACCTTCAGTTTTTCTTCAAATTGAATTTCGATAATCTGAATAAAAATACCATTGGTCTAGATCACTAGTCATCTGAACTGATGGGTTTTTCGATACCTTAGGTTTTTTTGTATTTAATTCAACAGTGTTTATTCTGTAAGTTTTCAAATTTCCTGCTTTTCAGACAAATGGGATTCGAAGTTACGGACGATGAGCTTATACGAATGTCCACTTCGGAGCTGAGGTTACTGCTCACAAAGCGCCAGGTCACTGCCGAAGAACACAGACAACTTCGTAGTCGTAGACGTCGTCTTCAAAATCGTAAATACGCCAGAAGGTGTGCCCACAAAAAATTGACTGAGGTTGAGAATCTTACGTCAGAAGTCGAGGAAGAGACCTCCGAACTCCAGGTTGGTCAAGCGTAATCATTTGGCATTTGGTTAAGACTGATCAATCATGGAAAGTTTTCTGTACTTTGGTTGCATATACTTGTGCACAACTAATTTTCAATACTGCCGAATGGATGCAAACATTTACGTTTGGAATTCTCTTCACAATTGTTAAACTGCTACCAGTGCCTCGGTTATTCATTGCCTTGTATTGCCCTGTATTCACCACTTATATATTCCTAAATTTTTTTATCGTACATTCTCAAATCAGAGTACATCTGAACACTTCACCGTGTAACCTGAATGGTGAAGGTGCTCAAACATTTTTCTTTAAATTCGTTCCGTAGAATTTCTCCGATTTTTTACTTGTAGCATTCGTTTTTCTGCAAAATATCACCTTGAGCATCCTCATGTACCTAAGCAAAGCCACGGGCTGAACCCCAGGACGCTTCTTGAGTCCATGACCCCACATCATAAACAGCTATCACTATGAAATGCAGTAGGTAGCATGCTTAGCACGTGCTCCAACCACGGGATTCCTTTCGACTTAATCAGCAACTTTAGAGCATACTGTATTTCAAGCAGCATTCTGTTTTTCGGACCTAGTGGTCCACTGGACAACAATTCAAAATGCTCACAGATGGAATTGGATACGGAATGATGTGCCTAATATACCTGTGGCTTTTCAGGCGCTGTCATAGATGTGATCAACTCCTCTTGAGCACAAATCTAAGTCCGCGTTCGATTTTCAGACAACGGACATTGAAACCGAACTAGGTTTTTAAACGTGCCTCTTTCGATATTTGCCGACACCTTTTAGTCCAACCTCACTCGGACATTTCACTGGAGCGGAGTTCATCAACGTGGCTACCGTCGCGGAGCTCCAGATAACGTCGACAATCCTTTGACCCGTTGTTAAGCAGACGAGATACCGGAAGGGAACATTAATTGCGCAATGACACTGTGTACGCAACATTCCATCACGGCAAAACTGCAACATGATGTGTTGTGATGGTTTACGTGCCTCCGTGACCCTGTGAGCTACGTAGGACGGCTTCTCACAGCCGTAGATCCAATCATTCCTGAAAGGCCAACGAGTAGAGGCCAGACGAAGACCAGTCTCACAAGGCCAGCTGCTCGGGCACCTGGCTTCCTTCGACTATCCACACCCGCCCCTGGAGAGGTCACTCCAGCAAATAAACACGAGGAGAGACAGTCTACCCGTAAAAAAACCCGCTAGATGGACGTAGGACTGGGGTACCTGAGGCTTCCTGCGGACGATGGTAGGAGTCTTCTCACTTCACTGGACACCTACCGTCCGCCCAAGCTGGGCATCCCCCAGCCAGTATGGTGCTGTCCCGTCCACGTTCCGTTTGTCCCATTGAGTGCATGAGGCTAAGGGCAGATCCCGAAAAGCGAACCGTCAACCAAGGCACCAACAAACAACACACAGAACCGAAACCCGCAGCCTTTGTGTGACAGGTCTCTAGAATCTCTCACACGGGTGCTTCGTTCACGCTCCCGCGTTGGATTTACGCCTCGCTGCCTTGCAGGTCAAATTTTTGAGTCATAGGCTCCGGTAGGGGTTCCCAAAGATCGATTTGCTCCCAGACGACAGACTATCAACTTTGAAGGATGCAGTCGACATTGTGTTGTTAAGTGAAGATGCAGGTAAGTTACAAGCGTTTCTAGAAAGTTTGAGTGCTGGTGTATCCATGTTCGGTATACGTTTTGCACCATCAAAGTGCAAGATGCTACCAAAAGACCGGGTTGATACAGCACCCAGCCTCACCCTAACTGGGGAAGTAATAGAACAAGTGGATTAGCTTTGTTATCTGGGCAGCTACATCTCACCCGGTAGGCGTACCGCGGAAGAAGTGTCAGCTCGCATACAGAAGGCTCGGTTGGCATTTGTCAACTTGGGACATCTGTGGCGTTTTTCGCTACATCCGGCTGTCTGTGAAGGGTCGAGTGTATGCTACAACAGTTCGGCCAGTCCTGCGATACGGCTGAGTAGCTTGGGCATTGAGGAGGGAGGATAAAAATAGATTGTTGGTGTTTGAACATCGCTGTCTGCGCAACATTGGACGAATCTGGTAGGGCCGCCGGACGAGGAATGTTGAGGTCAGGCGTCAAATTTTAGGTAACCGCGGTGGCCCACTGGAGCAAGTGGTCGACCTCCATAGATTACCTTGGCTGGGGCATGTGTTACGCATGTCACCAAACAGGTTGCCACGGTGAGCGATGTCTCCGCGGCAGGTAGTGGTGGTATAAAACCCAGAGTGGTCAAGCTAAGACCTGGCATGAGGGTATGAAAACCCTAACCAGTATTCTGGGTCACATAGGTCCCGTTAGGCTCCCTGGATGGGGACCTCGGGATGGTCGTACCCGATGGTTAGAGACACTGAGTGATATGACTGAGTGTCGTAAACAGTGGCGTTCGTGCGTTTTGTCAATTTCTGGGCAACATTATTCTACTGATATTCTCAATTTCCTCTTCGAACCTACTTTCAACTTTTCCTGTTTTCAATTTTTACCTCTATGACCAATTGATGATAGAAGTGTATCGAGAAAGCGATGCTTCTTGTGTTGTTTTAGCGTGTATAATAATGTTATAATGTTAATAACACAGCGATATTGGTAGAGAATCATATTCGCTGACGTTTCGGTTACCGTGGGTAACCTTTCTCAAGATAGGTTTTACAATGAAATGACTCTGAGGAAATGATCACGAGTTAACGGATATTTCATCATGTGTATGTTTGTGTGTGTGTGTGTGTTTGTTGAAATGAGTGATTCGTTGTCCGTGATACTAACTCCCATTATTTGATGGGGTCAAGTGGCACCGTGACCTTTGTCGTGATTGCGCTTTAGGAATGTTAGGGTAGTCCAAATGCTCGGGATATCGATTCCGTCATTTCCGTTGACACATGCAGAGTGGTTGTTAATGGCCAAAGGTTAGGTATACGAGCGTTCAGTGCATGTTCGAAATCCGATTTGGTGTATTTTTGGGTTGTCGTAGTCTATAGTGTCACCTTCGACTATAGTGTGAAGAGCGATCGCTGAGTTTTGCCAGAGTTGCTTGGTCCGTCGGTCGATGTTTTTCTTTTCTCTTGTGTTCCGTTATTCTTGTCTTGAGTTGTCTGCTGGTTTGTTCAATGTATTCTGCGGGGCATTCTTTACAACTGAGTTTGTAAATGCAGTTGTTTTTATCTTGCAATTCGACCGGATCTTTGGCTTTCACGAGATGGCGTTTCAGAGTATTGTCAACCCGAAAGAATGTTTGTTTGTTGAAATCGCCGAGAATCCTTCTGATTGCTTCCGAAGTGCCTGATCTATATGGAATGTCAATAGAGGCTACACGGTCTTTTCTGTCATTGGGTTGTATCATTGGTTTGTTGGCCTATAACTGGGATCTTACCAGGAGTGGCGGATAATAATTGTCTTTTAGCACTTTTTTGAGACGTTTATTTCCATTTGGCGGTTATTGTCTTCATTGCAGAGCTTTTTGATTCGGTCAGCCAGAAAGAAGATAAGGGTCCGTTTTACACATTGTGGATGAGCTGATTCAAAATGTAAAAGTTTATCCGAATGTGTCGGTTTTCTGTGAACGCTGGTGGTTTTCCTCCTATTGTTCCCTCAAGGGGGCAACCAAAGGATAGCAACCAAAACCGTCGCATGGTAGTGCGTGGGTAATGGTTTTACAAACTGATTTGAACTGAATTGTACGCAGCATTGCACATTCTGGTTTGACAACCGGTGACTAACTCAAGAGTGAAATATTTGCTAATTGCGATATCGCACTTATTCAGTTGCTTGACCTACATATTTGAGGAATCAGCCGATGATATGGTACTGCTATGTGAAGATCCTCTAAGTTGAAAAACTTTCTGGTTAGTCTAGATGATAATGTTGCTATATCGAGAATGCGTTTGGCGTATCTGTTAACTACGTTTGTTAGATAATCTTCAAACAGTGGCCTGCACCGGCTTCTAAGGTCTTAGGTTTGAGTATTTGTATTGTTAACTGACGCATTCTAGGACGCTGTGCCGTTAACCAGTCGCACTCTGTGCAATTAGCCGCTTTATTTGCGATCTTAAGCTGCTAGTAACTTGCACTTCGTACAGTTTGTCGCCTGAGTAGTCGGTAGGTCTCCTGCTCCCTCCCCAGTAAGTAGCACGTCTGACCTATCTGAACCTAGCGTGGTTCATTTCTGGAGTGTTGTAAAAGTCGTCTTTGATATTCGGATCAGCATGTAGGGTTGGAGCGTGGATGACAATCATGGCCACATTCAAATGGTTTGCCCTGAAACCGGGCTACGGCAAACTTTAGTAGAATTGGTTCCCAAGAGATCAGAACACTTTGCTCAACTATTCATTGCGGTTGCAACCCCATGAAGCCCAGATTTATCTATTTCCTCGCCGTTTTGTATCTAGTAGTGTGCGTCTGCAAGGATGTACTTGCATATGTCGACTGTTGGAGTTGGTCCGCGTACCGCATATAGTCTTGCTCTATCGGAGGGAGTGTGTGCATGGTGATGTACTGACTGTCTGTGCTTAAAAGAGTTCTAACTCTAATATTGACACGTGACCTGGTGTTGAGATTCCTAGTTCGTGTCTGGGTCACCCCAGCCATTAGGAAGGGAGAGTATTGGGTGTCTCGCTTATCGGGGACATTGTAGCAGGATTAATACGCATTTCGGAGACAAATCTATGAAGATACACAGGGATTTTGTGCAAAACGACATCCCCATTACTATTCCGTTCTTTAACAAGAGGCTTCTGCGGGTAAGGCAGTATTCAACTACCCAGATCGTGATTAGGTATTATCTTTAAACGCCGCACTCCGAGCCTTTGCATTAAAGGGTGAACTTTCAGAATGAGCTAAGGTTCTCTGATCGTTTGTGTTCCACATGTTTCAAAAGAGTTGGTGACTGAGGATTTCTGTTCTTGAGCCTCAGCGGGAATACAATCTCTCATGAGGAGATAAGCGACGGGGACGAGATACAACCACAAAGTCACGATACCGTCTTCAAACGCTCAAGTACATACCGCAGGAAAGCCCACCACATCCTGGCAGCATCCGGTCCACTAGCAAATCATTGACACTTCTTTGTATATATATATATATATATATGTATATATATATATATATATATATATATATATATATATGTATTTGATAAGAAGTAGTATGTGAATGACTGGACGAAATTTCCCTGGAAGCACACGACCAGTTTCGCGGTTCTTGTCGCTCGTCAGGCATGCGTATCCGGTAATCTTTTGTCAGTTCATTCATATACTTGTACCCAGGAAGTGTATTTTCGTCACAATAACCTTGTTTGCGACACCGGGTGACCATTGAATATATATATACCTGGCACTGCACCAAGTCTCGTGTAGTTCTGTCTTTGATGTGATATTCCTTTGGTTTACTAACCCCCCTCTAGGTTGTGCGTTGATACACTCAATAAAAAAGAAGTATAATATGATCATTATGTTTTATCGAGTTGTGTATCATTTCTTTTACCAGTTTGCATAAAATCCATTCTTGGTAGCATTGCTCTCAGGTTTTGCTTTCAGGTTTCTTCTTTCACGCTTTTTACGACCTCTTTTTATAGGCCCTTCGACGTCAGTTGCTTCGTATTAATTTAACTACTCAACGTCTTCAACACCAAGCCACCGGATTGGCTCGCTTTCGACTTAGCCTCCAGTCCGAAGATGAAAAGCAGCCAACCACACAAGCTGTTCGTATGCTTTTGGCAAACGGCAAAACGATCGGCTTTGCTCATCCTACAGAATGTGCCTCACATACACCCAGTCCAAAGTCGTCCCCCCCACTTCCTTCATCCAGTGTTTTAGTCGGGTCTACTGTAACCACTTCTCTAGATCCTGTTCGGACAATCCCCTCATTCTTGAAATCACATTCAGCTTTCTCCTCCTCCCTTTCCCACAAACCACAACCGGGCATGCCTGTTCAGTTGGCAGCTGGCTTGGGAATGCCCTCCAATCATAACCCATCTCCATACGCGTGGTCGTCATCCGGCACCGATTCACTCAATTCCCGTCTTCCCATGCGCCTCGTACGTCCTGTTGGATGTGGTATGGTAACGAATGGTCGAAACGGGGCGGAATACTAAAGTACATCGAGATCGGATCGCTTTTTCAATAGGTCGGCTATGTCCATCTAGTTCAATGCATGTGAACATGTGTCATTACGGTAGTTCAGTACATGCTTCAACTTCGTATGTTCTTACATGCACTCTAAACGCAACTACGTTTAATGGTTTTCACTTGCCCCCTTTTTCCATTGACAGCTGATGTTCTTTTCCGTGTTCACTGAATTCTCGTCCGATGCGTTCAGTTAGTCATTCATTCGTTTCCCTCCGTTTTTCAGTCGATATATTCGATGTCATTTGCCATGGTACGACGGCTGTGTTAAATTTTGACGTTAATGATCAATTAAAAGTTGTTCTTTGTAAACTGCCAGAAGATATCTAATCGTTTTATGATCGCTTCACCCAGTTTCAGTTTATAAGGGGGGGG